GTCAAGGTAACAATGATGAATAAGTCGTAATGAGCAGGCGTTGATGTTCGTGTAAAATTACGGTAACAAGGCTGCAAAAATCGTAAGGAGCATGTAGTGATGTTTGTGTACAACTGGTGAAAATGATGAATATGCGCTGATGTTCATGTAAATTTGCAGAAACAAAACATCAGCAATATGTGACAGTGTTTGTGAAATCATGGGGAAACAGCGGGTTCATGCTCATTTTAAACCAATGTACCTTGCTTCGTAGGATGCCAAACAAACATGGTGATGTGAGTTTTTTGGTGGTTCTGTGGTGGACAGGGGGCAACACGTTGGCAGCGCCTGTCTTGTCGTCCAAGCCAGTTCTTCCTCCCCAGGCAGACAGGCGCCAGCGATCTCATGGCAGTTTTGCAGCTCCTGTCTCCACTACCAGGGCGAGCACGGTCCTCCTCCCCCCAAACAGACATGCGCCAGTGATTTTAACGCAACAAGGCTGGCCAAGCTTTGCTTAGTTACCCTGGTTCCTTCGACATTTTCATCAGTTCGGTTGTCATGACTTGTTCAGCATGGCTGCCCCGTAGCTGAAAAACATATCCTGCGCGTCACAGTTTTTTGCACTACAAGAAGCACCCCCGTTCCCCCTTTGACACCACAGTTTCCCCACTTGCGCCACAAGAGTTCCGCCTGTGTACAGCAGTTTTCCCCCTTCGCACCACAAGAATTTCCAACGCATAACGCTGTTTCCCCGTTTGCGCCACAAGAATAGCCCTTGTGCACTGCAGATTCCCATTTGCGCCACAAGAATTCTCCGTGTTTGCCGCAGTTCTCCCCTTTTATTTTGCACCGCAATAATTTCCGACGCATACCGCAGTTTGCACCACGCGAAGTCCAGCTGTATTCCGTGGATTCCCTCCTTTGCACCGCCCAAAAATCGTCTAGTTTCCCGCATTTGCGCCACAAGAATTCTCGCTGTGTACAGCAGTCAGCAGTTTTCCCCCTTTGCGCCACAAGAAGTTCCCACGTATATATAGCGCAATTTTCCCCATTGCACCACGAGAATTGCCTTCCTTTGCACCACGAGAATTTCCCGTGCTTTCCCCTTGTGTGGCACAAGAATTCCGCTTGTATACAGCAGTTTTCCCCCAAATTTGCATCACAAGTTCCACGCATACCGCAGTTTCCCCTCCCCCTTTGCACCACAAGAATTCCACCTGTCCACTGCAGTTTTCCAATTCCGCAGGGTTATTGCAGGTTTGCCCTTTTGCAAGAGAATAACTGCCCCTATACTGCAGCTTTCTCTCTTCGCACCATGAGAAGTCCCCCTGTTTACCCACAGATTCCCTCTGTGCACCACAATAATCCTGCGCGGTTACTGCAGCGCCCTTGTTTTGCACCACAATGATAGCCTCTTTGCGTCGCAGTTTTCCCGCTTGTGCACAACCGAACTATACCGCAGTTTTCCCCACAAAACGTCCGCCCGCGTACAGTCTTCCCCCTTTGCGCCACACTATTTTCCCCGGTTGCGCCCCAATCTCCCACATATACCGCAATTTTCCTTCCCCCTTTGCACCACGAGAATTGGTGCGAAGAGGATGTTCTCAGGGAGGATGAAGTGGCCTGAGCAACGCCAAGCGGGTCTTGTGGCGCAGAAGGGGGAAGTTGTAATAGACACGCGGAACTCTGAAGGGGGGGGGAAACCTGCTGTATAAAAGGGCAATTCTTGTGGTGCAAGGGGGGAAAACTGGCGTTCACAAAGGAAAACTGGGGAATTCTTGTGGTGCAAAGGGGGAAATCTGTAGAAAACAAGGACGACCAGACCACTCTCGGTTGGTGCAAAGGAAAAACTCTGTTGTGCGCCGGATGTTCTTGTGGTGTGAAGGGGGAAGCCACGGCATACAGCTAGACTTCTCGTGGTGCAAAAGGGGAAAACTGCGGTATAGATCATGTGAAGTTCCAAGGGGGAACAACCGCGGTGTATTCTTGTGGTGCAAAAGGGGAAGTTTGCGGGGCGCAGGTGGATTTCTTGTGGTGCAAAGGGGGAAACCTCTGGTGGCGCAAAGGGGGGAAGCTCTTGTGGTGCAAAGGGGGAAACTCTTACTCTTGTGGTGCAAAGGGGGAAACTCTTGTGGCTCAAAGGGGGAAACTCTCGTAGTGCAAAGAAGGAAACTCTTGTGGTGCGAAGGGGGAAACTCTTGTGGTGCAAAGGGGGGAACTCTTCTCGTGGTGCCAAGGGGGAAACTCTCGTGGTGCACGGGGGAAACCAAAGGGGGGAGCTCTTGTGGCGCAAAGGAGGGAACTATTGTGGTGCAAAGGGGGAAACTCTCGTGGTGCAAAGGGGGAAACTCTTGTGGTGCAAAGGGGGAAACTCTTGTGGTGCAAAGGGGGAAACTCTTGTGGTGCCAAGGGGGAAACTCTTACTCTTGTGGTGCAAAGGGGGAAACTCTTACTCTTGTGGTGCAAAGGGGGGAACTCTTGCGGTGCAAAGGGGGAAGCTCTTGTGGTGAAGGGGGGAAACTGTTGCGGTGCCAAGGGGGAAGCTCCTGTGGTGCAAAGGGGGAAACTCTTGTGGTGCAAAGGGGGAAACTCTTGTGGTGCAAAGGGGGAAACTCCCGTGGTGCAAAGGGGGGAACTCTTACTCTTGTGGTGCAAGGGGGGAAACTCTTACTCTTGTGGTGCAAAGGGGGAAACTCTTACTCTTGTGGTGCAAAGGGGGGAACTCTTGTGGTGCAAAGAGGGAAGCTCTTGTGGTGACGGGGGGGGAACTCTTGTGGTGCAGAGGGGGGAACTCTTGTGGTGCAGAGGGGGAAACTCTTGTGGTGCAAAGGGGGAAACTCTTGTGGTGCAGAGGGGGAAACTCTTGTGGTGCAAAGGGGGAAACTCTTGTGGCGCAAAGGGGGAAACTCTTGTGGTGCAAAGGGGGAAACTCTTGTGGTGCAAAGGGGGAAACTGCTGTGGTGCAAAGGGGGAAACTCTTGTGGCGCAGAGGGGGAAATTCTTGTGGTGCAAAGGGTGCAAAGGGGGAAACTCTTGTGGTGCAAAGGGGGAAACTCTTGTGGTGCAAAGGGGGAAGCTCTTGTGGCGCAGAGGGACAACCGAGCCCCGTGCGAAGAGCTGGAGGTGAGCAGGCGACGAGCTGGACAGGCGCCTGTCAAGGGAAACAATGGGCAAAAGTGCATTTTCCTAGTTTTCCATGCCATCTCCAGGCCTGCCATCCAATTTCCCTTTTTCCGTGTTTCTGCCACCTAGTTGTCCATGCCATCTCCATAATCATATCCAGACCCCAAATTTCCTTGCCTTTTGCTACGGGGAAAACCTGGCTTCCCTTTCCCACCCGGGAACTCTTGTGGTGCAAAGGGGGAAACTCTTACTCTTGTGGTGCAAAGGGGGAAACTCTTACTCTTTGGTGCCAAGGTGCAGAGGGGGAAACTCTGGTGGTGCAAAGGGGGAAACTCTTGTGGAGCAAAGGGGGAAACTCTTGTGGTGCAAGGGGTGAAACTATTGTGGTGCAAAGGGGGAAACTCTTGTGGTGCAAAGGGGGAAACTCTGGCGGCGCAGAGGCTGAGGGACAACTGAGCCCCGTGCGAAGAGCTGGACAGGCGCCTGTCTGCAGGCGACGAGCTGGACTGCGTGCGCCTGTCAAGGGAAACAAATGGGCGCAAGTGCATTTTCCTAGTTTTCCATGCCATTTCCAGGCCTGACATCCAATTTCCCCGCTTTTTCCGTGTTTCTGCCACCTAGTTTTCCATGCCATCTCCATATCCAGACCCCAAATTTCCTCGCTTTTTCCGTGTTTTTCCGTGTTTTTGCTACGGGGAAAACTTGGCTTCCCTTTCCACCCTTTCCGTGTCTTTGCTACGGGGGGTTTTCCATGCCATCTCCAGGTCCATATCCAGGCCCCAAATTTCCCCGCTTTTTGCGTGTTTTTGCTACGGGGAAAGCTTGGCTTCCCTTTCCACCCTTTTTTAACGGAACCCAAATCAGAACCCATTCCGCGCGCGTAGGGCGGCGCTTTGGGGTCCCGGGCACGTGATGTCTTGTTGCGGAGCCTCTCCGCGCGGCGCATGTCTGGTTGCTGCCTGGAGCTGCCTGCAGGCCCGGCAAAGTCTTGGATTGAGCAGCTTTGCGGCGTGACATGGCACACTGAGCTCGAACAATGTCGCATTTTGACCAGATGCAGCAGTGGCAGTGAAACAGCGAAAATTGTGGCGTTGAAGTGAAAAAGCCACGGCTTATTTTTTTCAGCCATCATAATAAGCCTTCCCGCAGAAAGGGCAGCACTGCCAGGCATCACTGGCTCGCTTTTCGCCACAGGCGCAGCAGAACAGCATCTTCCTGCGGCCAGCGCCTGAGACAGACGCAGAGCGGAGCGAGGACATAAGCGAGGCAAAGGCGTCTGTTGCTGCTGCTCTTTGACGCTTCCTTGTGGGCGCGTCATAGATCTTGTCCAGGGTCCTGGCAGTCGTGCCGCAAATGGCCGCGACAACCGCTGTGCTCATGCAAACGTCCTTCAGCAGACAGACGCTTGAGCGCTTGAGGCTGTGAGTGCCCAGCTTGGAGAGATCCACATCGTCCCACAGGTGGGTCCGCAGCTCTTGGCGGGCTTCTTGCCGCTCGCGCCTCAGAGCGGCCGCAACCTGTGAGATGCTCGCCAGGTACGCGCGCTCAGTGACCGGGCGCCGCCAGTCTCTGCGGCAGCCCTTGCCTTGACCAGCCTCCTTGCTGAGGCCCGGGAATAGGAGCTGGTCAGCGTCTGTCTGGACAGGCGCGGTAAAGGGCCACTGGGAGTTCTTGGCGCCTGTCAGCGGGGAGATGTGCAGCCAGCCATAGAGAGCCACTGCGAAGGGGGCACACAGGGGCACCTCTCGAGCTTTTGTCTTTCGGTTGAAATTTGGGATGCAAATGAAGGGGGGCTCTGCAGATCCTGGGTCAATGTGGTGCAGCCAGGCTGTGGTGCATCGACGGGCGCAGTCAGCGCGCTCACCGCATTGGAGCTGGAGAAGGCTGAGCACTGCAGCCCATGGCTTGCCTGCCTTGCACAGCCGTTCAAAAAGGTCTGCAAGTTGTTTTGCGTCCATCGGCTCCCGCTTACCCCGTGCTTGGAGAGGCACTTTCAGAAGGCAGCGGTCGCGGTGACAGGCGCAGCAAAACCGAACCTTCTTGCAGGTTTGCCGCAGACTTTGCCTGCACTGACTCATGTCCACTTTCTCCCGCAGGACCATGAGGCTTCCGCTGACGTTCTTCACGTCTCTTTTCGACCGGCAACCTCCCGTCTGACACTGAGCAAGGCTTGTGTGGCTTTGGGGGGGTGCTGGATTGTCTTTACTGACATATTAATCAACTAACTAACGGGCCGGCCTCACCTCAGTAGCAACCAGTCATGAAATGAGTGCTCAGTAGATTTGCCTTGTCAACTGAGCGGTAGCCGCTGCTAATTAAGTGAACGAAGTGGCCCGGCCTTTGAAGCTGCAGGGGATCTTGATGTGGCTCCCGGCAGCCCGCGCAGGACCGTGACGCCTTTGCTTCCGCACCATGACAAGTCGGGCACTCAGACTGTGCTAGGCGCAGCGGAGTCAGTCACTTTTGAGATGTCAGAGCCCAAGCTGCGGCCGGGGTTGAAACATGACTGATGTTATGTGGCATGCGTGCCGTTGTCACTCAAGCTATTTCAGCTGATTTGATTGCACTCCTTCCGCGTTTGTCTGCCGTGTGTCTGCAATGGCTGATCAGGAGCGCCCCGTGCCTTGCCGTCCTCAGTGTCAGGCATCCTGTAGTAGGCGAAGCAAGGCCCCGCAGACGAACAGAGGCGCGACGGCGAGGAGAAGAAAGAGGCAGCGCCTGTCCAGTGGAGTCTTGGCTCTTTGAGAGATGCTGAGCTGGCTGCCACACATTGCACGCATGCCTTGGCTTCCAAGGCAAGAGGTGCTGGACGTGCTCCCGCACGAGTTCCAGTACTATTGCAGGCACCTGGGCACGGAGGCAGGGCTGAGGCTCAAGTGATTGAATTGAATTGTCAGGGTGTCAAAATTATTTGACTAGGGACCCGTCTGGCAGTTTTCAAAGGGAATGAGAATCCTAGAAAGAAGCCAACTGTGTCAGAAGGGGTCCGTAATTGTCAATTTGGCCAATCAACCAGCCTACATGTTGGCAAGGCGCTGCTCGCTCTGCACTGCTTGAACCTGGCCGACCCGAACGGAGCCTGGTGGATCATGCGCCTTGGCTCCGCGCACGGGGTGAACTCTTGCGAAGGGGCAATTCTTGCGGTGCAAAAGGGAAGACTGTGGATAATACGGGGCGAAGTCTTGCGGGCGGGAAGACAGCTGTAGACACGTGGGTCGGAAATTGCATTTCGCAGAGAAACTTATTGATTGGACAGCGCAAAGGGGAAAGCTGCGGCTTACAGAGGGCAAATTATTGCGGCGCTTAAACCGTGTCGCAGTCTGACTGAGCGCACGTCTGCGATGCAAAAGGTTAGCGCTGTTGGAATTGCTTCTGCATACGCTGAAGTTTCCCCCTTTTGCGCCACAAGAATTATCCCCCCGCCTTTTTCGCGCCATTTGCACCACAAGCATTTGCCCTGTGTACCCAAATTTTCCTGGAGGGCGCCGCAGGAATTTCCCATGCCATGTTTAAGGCAGTTTTCCATGCATGTGTGCCGCATGTTTCCTTTCTTGCACCACAAGAAATTCGCATGTACCCCTCTGCACCACGAGAATTGCCCCTTGTACAATGCAGTTTCCCCCTTTGCACCACAAGATCTTCCCATGTATACCGCAGATTTCCCCTTCAGCACAGTGCCAGCGACGCCCAGGAATGAGATGCGGAAGAAGGAGAAGTCCGGCGGGCGCTTGCGAGACGGCTTCGTGCTTGCGGAGGCCCGCAAGCAAAGCGTGGCTGGGGCACAATCATGTCATGATTGAATCATTGTTGTCACTTTGACCTGTCGAATTGAGCCCCACCTCCCGTGCCAAGGAATACATGAGCTCCACCTCGGCGCAAGCCTGCAGGGTTGCAGACGCAGGTCGCTGGACCACTTGAAGAGCGCCTGTCTATCTTCGTGCTGGCGAAAAAAAACAGTGCTTTTTCTGCTCACGGTGTGTGTGTGTGTGGCACCACGCTTGGACTTCCTGCTTTGGCTTTGCATTTGAAGCTGTCAGCTGGCCAAGGCTTCACCGTGCAGGCCACTGACTCAGCCTCTGCCCCTTCGCTGATTGCTTGTTGGAAGAAGCTTGCCTGAGGCTGGGGTCGGCTTGCCCTCGCTCCACGAGCTTGCTGGGCCCTGAGAAGCAAGGGCGGCAGCCAGCATTTTTGCTCACCTGGGAGCACGGCCTGGGAGCATAGAAAAAAACACGGCCTGGGAGCATCTTGGCTCAGTCATCATGGCTCAGTCATCATGTTCACATCTGTCATATTGCGCATGTCTTGGAGCAGCATGTCCAACCATGTTACATGTTCCTTTGTGCCTCAATTGTCAAGTAATTTTGGTGGCGCCTGTCTGTGCGCCTGTCTGTGCGGCCATGGCAGCGTTCTGCCTACTGTGCGGCGTCAAAGTCGCCATGGACGCCACTCGCCCATCATGTGGCCGCACAGATCACGTTTACCACAGCCTTTGCTATCGCCATGCTCGCCGCCGCTCAGCTTAATTGACTTGATACAATACTGCAGCAGCTTCAGCTTTGCATTTCTAAGGAAGGCACCCGGACGCTTTCAGTGACCTGCCCGATAGCGCCTGTCTGCACTGCGCGCTTCGCGCGAGCTGCGAGGCCCTGGCCATGGTCCTGGCCAACTGGCCGACCACGATGATCGCTGTGATCGCGTGGGGCCGCAACTTCTGGTCCGACGCGCGCTTTGACAGCACCAGCAGAGTTTCCCCCTTTGCGCCACAAGAGTAAAATTTTCCCCCTTCGCACCACAAGAGTTTCCCTCTTTGCACCGCAAGAGTTTCCGCGGATTTCCCCCTTTGCACCAGAGTTTCCCCCTTTGCACCACTTTGCGCCGCGAGAGTTTCCCCTTTGCACCACAAGAGTTTTCCCCTTTGCACCACAAGAGCTTCCTCTTTTGCACCACACGAGTTTCCCCCTTGGCACCACCCCTTTGCACCACAAGAGTTTCCCCCTTTGCACCACAAGAGTTTCCCCCTGTGCACCACACGAGTTTCCCCCTTTGCACCACAAGAGTTTCCCCCTTTGCACCACAAGAGTTTCCCCCTGTGCACCACAAGAGTTTCCCCCTTTGCACCACAAGAGTTTGAGTTTCCCCTGTCACTGGCCACGTTCATAGATTGCGCTTTACCACCAGCTGAGACTCAGGTGGAACGGCACGCAGGACCACCCGTCGGCGGCCGTGATGGAGTTCACGCGCGCAAGTTTACACTGGGAGTTGAGAGCCCCTCACACCTGCAGGGCTGACTCGTTGACTCAGGCGATGAGAGCGTCATCCACGATGTGCGCTCCCGTCTGAGCCCCGACGGGTGGCACGCTCGTCGCCGCGGCGGGCGCCTCTTCAAGGAGACGCAGCAGCAGGCGACGCAATGACACCATAGCAAGTCACATGTTCATGCAATCATTGATGCAGTTTGACCTTGGTGCTGAAGCTTGGCAGGTGGCCGGCCAGAAGGGCTTTGTGGACCTGCTGCTGAGCATGCTGCTCCTCCCGTGCGGGATGGTTTGGCTGCTTGGCTGGCTGATTGACTGATGATTGGTCAGGATCAACTGCAGCAAGGGCTTTCGCCGCGCGGTGGTCTGCTCTGTGGTGTTGGCAGGCCGGGCGCAGTGAGGTCTGTCAGCATGCATGCACGCGACTGCCACTGCGCCCCCTGTGCAGACATCCTCGCGTCTGTCTGCGACCGGCCGGTGCGGGTGATGACTCCGAGCATCTACCCGGTTATTTGGATGGCCTTCCTGGAGGAGTTGAGATCAGCGCCGGCAGAGGTGAGCAACTGGCCAAGGCTGTACTGTGGCGCCTTCAAGGAAGCTTGCTCGGCAGGGTCCTCAGTGATTCACTCCCAACAGAGCTCGACATGATGATTGTGATTGAGTCTTGCTGTGATGAAGTCTGTCAACTGACGCTGAGGCCCTTCGCGACTGCCCGGCTTTGACACAGTTGCAGCCATCGCGCCTGTCTGCGGCGGGCCCATCTGGCAGCAACGACGACGACGACCCAACTGGCCTCCGGCCAAAGAGCAAGCCAAAGTCCAAGGCCATGCCAAAGCAAAAGGCCGTGCCAGAGAAAAAGGCCATGCCAAAGCAGCGTCTGTCTGAGCCTTCATCAGAGCTGCCTGCCGAGCTGCATGCGACTACGCCTTCAGAGCTGCATGCGACTGAGCCTTCAGAGCTGCATGCGACTGAGCCTGCAGTGCGACTGAGCCTTCAGAGCTGCATGCGACTTCAGAGCTGCATGCAACTGAGCCTGCAGAGCATGCGACTGAGCCTGCAGCGCATGCGACTGAGTGTTCAGAAGAGCTGCGTGCGACTTCAGAGCTGCGTGCGACTGAGCCTTCAGAGCTGCATGCGGCTGAGCCTTCAGCGTCGTCGCGTCCGACTGAGCCTTCAGGGTCGTCGCGTCCGTCTGAGCCTGCTGAGCCTCCTGAGCTGAGCGCATCTGAATGGCTGCGCCCTGCGAAGCGTGCCAGGGAACAGCAGGGCGACGGCGAGGGCGGTGCTGAGTGGGCGCATCAGGGCCAAGACTCTGCGGCCCCAGACGAGGACACTGCCCGGGGCGCCAACTTGTTCCTTGGCAGCTTAGTCCAGCAGTTTGTCTCAGAGCCTGGCCTGTGCGTTGAAGTGTTCCGTCCTGTTGCAGCTGCCAAGGGCGGATGATCCCCTGGTCATGCGCTACATCACTGCCAGCCTGCGCCTGCTCCCCTCGTCCATCTTTGTGGCTGGCTTCGTGGACTTGCGCCCGTGCCGTCAGGCCCGCATCATGCCTCTTGGCGGCAGCATTGAAGACAGTAGCCAGTAGCTTCTAAATAACTATCTTGAGCACGTGCCAGCCAAGGACGAAGGTGTTGTCCAAGTTCGGCGACAACACTGCGTGGACGGACACGAGGAATGACAACTACTGGCGCAGAGTCGCCCGTGCCAGGGGCTTTTTCATAGAGGCGGTGCAGAACGACTATGCGGAGTTTGGCTCCGATGCCTGAGCGCCTGTCCTCACTGTGGGCCATGAAACCCTGGCACTGAGCGCCTGTCTTCTCTCCGAACTTCTGAAACTGAAATATTTC